CTATTTTTTAACATATTTAATTTTTAAATGATATTTTTATAACATATTGACTGTAATGTTTTGAATGATCTGTATAGGTTTGTCTCTTATTACACAAGTTTTCTATTTGATTTGGTTAATAGTTTTTGCAAATACTGTATTACTAGGCTGAGATAAATGTTATGTTTAACAAATTTTTTAAGATAATGAAACCTATTATAAAAAATTATTATTACACGACCCTTACAATTATCTAATTTTCTTCTCTTATAATACTAATAATATATATTCTTTCTTGTTCATTCTTTTACCATTAAATAATCTCAAACATTTATTTTATCATTTTCTTTTTAGAATAAAATAATATCACATATTTTATAATTACCATTTTTAATATATTTTTGTAATTAAAGAATGAAAAAGCAAAAATATGAAATTTTCATTTGAATTTGAATTTGACATTTATAATTACATATAATAATTACAAGTATTTTATATTATAAATATATTAAAGTGCTTTATTTATCTATAAATATATTAATAAGAAAATAATTATCTATTTTATCAAATTATATAAATTTGATAAAGAATCAGCTTATACTATTTAAGTATTTATTAATTCAAATTTTATATATTATATTATTCAGTATTATTTATTAAGATTAAATATTATATTATACTAAATTATAAATTATAAAAATAGAACATTTGACTGACTTTAAATATAGTAATACAAAATAAGAGTAATAAATAAATAAAATAAAATGTATATTATAATATATATAAAAATTTAAAAAAATTAACTATGAATCAAAAATAAAATATAAAATATATAGGTGTATATAAAATAGAATTTAAAGTTAATTAGTAATTAAAATTTCATTATCAAACAAAATAAAATATATATATAAAAAAGAAAATAAATAATATTTGTATATCTAATTAATATAAATCTAATAAAAATATTTTTTTGAAATTTTAACTTATCAGGATTTTATACCTATTGGAATTTTGGACCTATCAGAATTTTAGATTTCAGGATTTTAAGTTTTGAAAATTAGCCTATTAGGATTTTAAGTTTCAGGATTTCAGACTATATCTATAATTAATATGATATTTATTAAGTTTACAAGTATTAAAATAGCTAAAGTATATATGATTACACTTATATTACTTAAGAGAATTATTTTTAAAGTATATGATACAATTATCTTAATATGATATCTTCATAATCAGGAATTCTATTTAAATTTTTTCTTTATTAATCATGTATTTAAAAAATAGCAATTTATGTTTAAAAAAAAAGTACTTTTTAAGATTTAATTTCAATCCTGTTTCTTATAATCACAAAAATACTTATTTCAAATATAATAAATATTCATCAAATAATTTAGATCTAAAATTAATATTATTGACATAGATAATTATATATTACTATAAAATATTAAGTAAAACAGTATCTATTAATTATTAAAAAGTTACAGGTATATTATAAAGTCTGAAAGATATAATATTAATATATTCTAAACCTAGTAATAAAGATAGTTATTTTCCTATTCTTTGAATCTAATTCATTCAACTTATTAAAATTTACTAGCAAATTCTAATAAAGTAAACTGTTATGATTTTTTAAAGTTTTCAATATTTTATCAATAAGATAAAATAAATTTGTTTTATTTTTACCAAATCATAAATATTGAATTTTATGTTAAAATACTTAAAAAATCATATTTTAGAAATTAAAATAATACTTAGTGATGATTATTAATTTTAGTAAAATAATAACCTAAAATATATTAGTTATCTTATTAAAGAATTTTTCTAAAACAATTGTCTTAAAGTTATAGATTAGTTCTTGAATAATCTAATTTAAATATGATGAAAATTTTATGAATTATTGTTAAAGAAAATATAAAATACTAAATGTCAAAAAAATTTCAAGATATTAGAGAAATTTATAATTAAAAAATAAAATGTAATTTTAAATATTATGTTAATAAATTTTACATATTTAATAAAATAATATTGTAAACTTATTATTAAAAATATGAAAAATGAATTTCTTAATATTAATATTATAATATGATTTATTTCTAGCTTTAAATAAAAAATTTCACTTTATTATATATTAATATAAAATTATAACTGATTTTATAATTTCAGTTTTTTTATTACACATTTTATAAATAAATATAATATATATAATAATACATATTACCGTAAAATCTTAAAATTAAGCACCTCCTGAAAATAAGCACCTCTGCTACTTTTGCCATAGTGTTTGTAAAAACTAAAAGTAAGCACCTTTGAAAATAAGCACCCTATTTATAAAATAATAGTTAATATGGATTTTATAAAATTAAATAATAAAACAAATTTATTTATAATAAATTTATAGCATGATTATTCTTTATTTATTTTATAATGATATTATTAATTTTCAACAATTTCAATATCATTATTTAATTCATCTAGATTTTCTTTTTCATATTCTGCAATTAATTTGTCAATTTCTTCATAAACAATATCATCTTCTGATTCATCTAACATATTTTAAATAGCATATTTTTTAAAAGAATTAAAAACAATTTGATCTGAAATAGCATCCCATGAACGTTTAACCCATCCACATACATCACTAATTCTTGCCCTTTTTAAATTTTCTGCTGCAGTTATACCAGCACTACCCTGAACCATCCATTCATGCCATTCTTTTCACAAATTATCTTTAAAATGTTTATTGATTGATATATCAAGTGGTTGACATAAACTAGTTAATCCTGCTAGAATAACAGCCAAATGAAAATTATGTTGTTTAAATTTAGTTTTCACACTCTCCTTCAAATGACCTCGAAAAGAATTATATATCATTATAGCAGGTTCGTTTGATAAATTTTCAGACATACGAAATTAAAAAGAAAATTCACATAATTCTTCATTAAATTTGATGTCATCCACCCATTTTCTTGAAACCAACAAATAATACCTTTTGGAATAATTTCACCATGAGGAAGTTGCTTTCCTTTAAAAATACAAATTGAAGGATATTTTGTACTATCTATAAATAATAAAAAGAAAACATTAAGTCAAATAAATAAAAAATTAAATTAAATTAAATTAAATTACAACGGACAGATTAAAGATTTAAAAGATTATTGTTTGGGAATAGAAGTTGGCTTAGGAACTCATGGCAAAAAAATTTAGTTGGTTCAACTATAGAAAAAGCCGTTAAAACTCTACTGAATAAGCATCAGGTTAAATACCAAAAGCAAGTACTAGTCAATTTTCAAGTTAACGAGAAAAAGTTGTTTGCCTTTCAAATCTTATTTACCAGCTGAACAAGTTAAAACCACAGTGAAGTGATTTTTATCATTTCTAGTAGTACGAATATGTACTGTTTTATCTCCTTTATTATTAACAGTCATATTGCCCGTCATATCAAACTAAACTGGAGTTTCATCCATATTAAAAATATTATTTAAATCAAAATTGTATTGCATTCTCAATCTTATAATAAATCGCCTAAATTCTTCTAACTTTTCTTCTGTATCTTCAGGTAATTTTTATGAAATTTTAGTTCTTCTTCTTAATGATAAATCAAATCTTTTCATAAAAGAACTAATCCAAGAAAGATTCCCTTGAAATTCATATTCTCCTGTTGAATGTAATGTTTTGATTGCAGGTTCTTTAAGAATTTTACACATTTGTAATCTTACTGAAATGTAATTAACAGCCAAACCCTTCTTCCTTTGTTCAATAATCCAATTGTATAAAAGTTTTTCTGCTTCAGAATACAAAGATTTTCTTCCTGATCCAATACGTTTTTTCTTTTTATTTTTTTTTTCCAATTCATTAATTTTTCTAACCCACCTTCCAATCATTGAACCATTTAAATCAAAGTGGTTTACTGCAGCATTTTTTCATTTTTTTGAGTGTATTTAATTACTGTTAATTTTTTCTCGACAGAATACGATATTTGCTTTGTTGTACTCACTTTTTTACTAGTCATTTTTGTAGCAAATCAGGTGAAGTGGCGGATGGTAGATACGAAAAAAAATTCAAAAAACTTTTTTTTTTATTGTAGGTGAAGTAGAAAACGGTAAACACGAGAAATAAAATTCAAAAAAACTTTTTTATTGAAGGTGGTGGTAGATACGAAAAAAAAAGTTTAAACTGTTTTTATTGTAAATGTTGGGTGGTAATACAAAAAAATTTTTTCGACTTTTTTTTTATAATAAACGGATATTATATGAAGAAAAAAAAAATTAAAAATTTTCTTTCATAGTGGATAACAAATGGATGGATGATAAGTATGAATTTTTTTTTTCTTAAAATTTTTATTTATAACTGATCATGATAATTTTTTTTTTATAATGAATCAGGTGATAATTGAAATTAAGCACCTCCACCAGTTTTGGTGATCACATGACTGCAAAAAAGGGGTGCTTAATTTCAAGATTTTACGGTAATAAATTATATTTAAACAAATTTTAATTTAATTAAAAAATAATTTTATTATAATATTTATAATTAAATATTAAATTAATAATTAATAATATAAATTTAAACTTTTTTTTTATATAATCTAATATTAATTTGATTGATTTTAAAATTTTATTTAATTTAATTGAATATTATAAAATCATTAAAGAAATTATTATTTTACATATTTTATCTAATACTTATAATGCTTTTAAAAATTAATGATCTTTTTTTAATTGTTAAAGTAAATCTGAAAATACCTAATATTAAAATTTGAAAAATACTATATATAAATAAGTAGTAAATATTAATATACAAAATTTTTTTTAATCAAAAAAAAAAAAAAAAATTCCCAACACATTTTTACACATTTTAAATTTTTTTTTTTTTAAGGAAAAAAAAGGATCAAATTTACCTAAATAAGTATAATTAAGAAAATTTACACCTAATATTTTATTAATAAAAAATGTATACATACCAACACAAACTTAACCCAAAATAATATTTATAAATCTTTTTTTAAAAAACAAACGTAATATTTATTCTTCATTGTTTATATCTTCGGTTGAATTATACTCAAATGCTCTACTAAATCCAACATATTTACCCAAATCATATTCCATAAAACGAAACATATACAATTCCACAGGCAAAAGATGCGACTTAAGGCTATCATCAACTTCAAAATTTTCATTCATTGGTGAAGGTGCTGTAGAAATAGTACTTTCCCTTCTCACTATTGCAGCGCCAGAATTTTCCGCTACACCCGAACTTTCTGTTGGAGTTATCGCATTTTCATCAAATTCTATTAAATCCGATTCCATTTCTTTTTTCGCTATTTGTGCAGCGTTTACATCTGTATCATCTTCAACTTTTGCTAGACATTGTTCTAATTCAATTCCTGATTCTGGTTCATCATTAATTTCCTTGTCATGGTCAGGTGCGATTACTTTAACTATATCACGCCAATCAACTTTAGGTTGTGACCAAAAATCGGTCGTAAAACCACCATCAGTGATAACCATCTTATCGAGCATTTCTTTCTGTTGTGCTTTTGCGAGCATATTTTCTTCTATTGTTGCTTCGCATACAAAACGAAATATGTTTACTTCACGTGTTTGACCAATACGATGACATCTAAACAAAAATGAAAACATGATCAATGAATTTTGAGCTTAATAATTTTTTTTTTTTAAAAAAATTTAATTTACCTATCTTGACACTGTCGGTCCATACAAGGATTCCAATCAATATCATAAAATATAACAGTATCAGCACCTGTAAGATTTATACCTAAGCCACCAGATCTCGTTGAAAGTATGAATACCAAAATTCTTGGATCATTGTTAAATCGTTCTGTTAATAACTGACGTTGCTCTATTTTAGTAGCACCATCCAAACGGAGATAACGATGTCCATGAATGTTCAGAAAGATTTCCAGTATATCAAGTACGCGAGTCATTTGTGTGAAAATTAATGCGCGATGACCTTTTTCCTTAAGGTTGCGAAGTAATCTATCTAATTCTTGTAATTTACCACAGTCGTACTGCAAGAGCCTTTTATCAGGAAAAGCAATCATAAGTTTAACCCGTATTGGATAATATAAATCCCGCACTTGATTATGAACGATATATCGAAATTCCTCAGGTAATTCAGCTAATGCATATGAACATACATCGGATGCAACAACTGCCGGAGTCACAAAAGCATATCTCTTTATAACTTCTTCCATCATATCATATCTTCGCTCATAAGATACGACCATATCAGGTAATGTAGTAGTACATTCTAAATTTTTTCTAGGATTCTTAGAATCCATTAAAAATTTTTCAAATGATGTCGTACCCAATTGTCTACATATATTAATTAAACCTGTTCCGTATATAGGACGTCGTTTAAGACGAAACGAATTGATATATCTCATATGATTCCAACGCTCTAGGGTCGCTATATGAACGTGATTTTGCATAATGTTACCAAACTTAGTAAGGCTATAATATGATATTTCTTCGATGTTGGTATTGATTCTTGAATTGCACAAATAAAGTTTCTTCTCAAATAAGTTGTCTGGATCTAACACACTATACTCCGAAGTAGCCAACCAATCCATATTCTCATAGTCAATTGTAATAAGATTAAATAAATCCAAATTTATCCGCTCCAAATGATAGTTTCCTCGATTAAGACGATTACGTAAAGTTAATTCACAATATTCATAATCTCTAATAGCAGAACGGCTCATTGCAAATGAGGTTACGATAGGACGGACTTCAAATAAATCCGGATGATTGCAGACCTTTCGTAGTTGCATTAGGCAATTGATAATACTTAAAAAATTGCCTGATCGAAGAGTTTCTTTAGTTTTAGAACGAGACATAAAATCATCATATAAAAACCTTTGTCGCTTCGATAAGCGACACTTAATAATATGAGTATGCTTGGCAGGTAGTTGTTTTTCTACATCAATTTTTAAACGCCGTAGAAGATAAGGTCGCAATAATGTATGTAAGGTAAGAATAGCCGCACGAGTTTTTTCATCAAATCCTTCATTGTTTTCAATCATTTTATCAACAGGACGTGAAAACCAATCTTGAAATTCTTTTTGATTAGCATACTCAAACGACATATCATCATTACGTGCATTAGGTTTTAAAAAGTACAACAAAGACCATAATTCCATAAGATTATTTTGCAAAGGCGTTCCAGTTAGTAGTAATCTTCTCTCGGAATTAAAGTTCAATAAAGTATTCCAACGTTGAGATTTAAAATTCTTGATATTATGAGCTTCATCAAGAATCAAATAGTGCCATTTCTTTTTCCTGAAATTAATTGCATCTTGAACTGCGAGATGGTAAGAAGTGATACAAACATGGAACGAATGTTCTTTTGACCATCCTAAACGTTTTTCTTTACGTTCTTTTGGGCTACCATAATAAGTTAAAATGATAAATCCGGGACACCACTTTTTAAACTCCATTTCCCAGTTAATAATAACGCTTGTAGGTACAATAATTAAATGAGGTCCCCAAACTCCTTTATCGCAAGCCAAATGAGCTAATAAAGCAATGGTTTGAATTGTTTTACCGAGACCCATCTCGTCAGCAAGAATGCCATTACTCCCTTGTTCATATAAACTAGCAAGCCAATGAAGACCATCATGTTGATATGCACGAAGTTGACCTCTCAATAATGAAGGTATTGGTGTCCTTGCTTTGGTAATCGTAAGAGCCGTTATATTAGTAGACTGTCTTGATGTATCAGTACCATCTTCTAGTCTACCAGGTTCTTTTTCCAGCTTTTTTCTCTTTGCACTTAATTTAGAATTGTCTGAACGATTATCAGAGGTTATAATAGCCTTTTTCATAAAGCTTTCCTGGGACTTGGATATTAAAAATTTGGTCGTGAAATCGTCATCTGTATCAGTAGTTACTACAGAAATCGACTCATCAGCTTCATGTTGTCGAGGCATCTCACCACCATTCGCTGGAATGTTTTCAATTCGAACAGATACATTCGAACTTTCAGAACTTTGTGTTGACGTATCTAATTCTGAAAGACTATCATCGTCACTATCATATAATGATGAGACATCACTTTTTCTTTTCTCCTGAACACCCTTTCTTAAACCTTTACTAGTAGTACCATTTGAAACTAGCTTTGACTCTTCAATATCGGCATTATTTTCTTCCTCGGAATGTTTATTAACGCCATAACGCTTTAATAATTCATCTATGGGAAGATTCATTTCATCAGCTAATTCGTTTAATTCAATCGCTTCCTCTTCAGAATCTTCTTCAAGTTCTTGAGCTTCCAACGAAGCCTCATTATCTTCAACACACTGATCCAGTGACACTGTAAACTCTCTGTCATTAATGTCAGGATCATCACTTAGATTTACCGTTTTTATATCGAGAGATAATGTTCGTTTGCGTAAACTCTTTCGAAGTGCATTGTCTAATTGCTCTGGAGTAGATATTGAAGGGAAGGAACTTGCCTCATTGTCAACATTCATATATGCGTCCGACTCTCCATGTTGAAAAGATTGATCTTTTTCAACTTCTTCATCAGACATATCCGGATCTGTAGAACGATTATCTTCCTGATCCTCAAAATAAAGAGGATAATCATATTTTTCCATTAAATCCTCTAATGGAAGGTCTTTCTCAGCTTGTAAATTACGAATTTCTTCGTCATCATCCGAAGATTCAATTTCCATGACCTCTTCATCCATTGACATTTGATCTTCATCAGATAAATTAATATCTGATTTGAATTCCTGCTTATCATTGTTATTTATATTAACATCTTCCATAGTGGTAGTTCCCATTAAATATTTTTCGTGAAATTCAATCTTCTGAGTAGCATCTTCAAAAAGTGCATTAAGCTTTTGTTTGCCTCGTCGTTCTTCTTCTTCGGCCACCAGCTTGTCATGCATATCATTAATAAACTAGAATATCAATTTCGAATTAATAATTAATGCAATATAAATTTTTTGAAGTAATATCTATGGTTATAAATTTTGATATATCAAAATATAAGATGATATTTGAAAAACTATAAAAATAAAAATATAAAATAAATATATTGTGATATCTTACTTTCGCTATTTCTCTCCACCTATGCTTGACTAAGTTAGCTGTTGTCTTAGCTAACTTTTTGATTCGCTTTTCTTCAGCTTTTATCGCATTTGGCTCTTTCATCGCTAATTTGTTAAAATGTCCTAAAATTGCCCTACTGACTTGATGCGTTTTTCTTAACCTTTCATCACTACTTTTATTAATTCTTTTCGACTTTGCCACTACTCCGTCAAGAATGAAATCCCAATGAACCTTTTGGCGTGGTGGTTCAGAAGCTGGTTTAGGAATTGGTTGTAATTTTCCTTTATTTTTTAAGACTAAAATACGATAATCAACATCTATCTCGTTTGGAAGCCTAGCTGCTTCTTCAGCAGGGGTGATATCCTCATCATCCAAAGTGATAAACGATTCCAAATATGCTTCAAAACTTGGAAATTGAGCATGACCTCGCCTACGTAGCGAATACAATGACATACTACCCGATGATGCATTATCACGATTACTAGTAGAATCTACTCTTGAGGACCTACGGAATGGGCGACTTCCACTGTCAGAGTCTCCAGAAGTATGCTCGGATGGCATAACATTGTGGAAAACTCGCGAACCGATAGATTGTTGTAACATACTGAGGATAGAATCACGATGTTTGTTAAGTGACCGACGAGTGGACATCCTAGTAGAATTTGATTGGATGCTGTTGGTGACTTGTTCGTTTAAAGAGGACCATAGGTTGTGATTTTCTAAATACTAAGTCAATCATTATTACAAAACATAAACACCCATTTAGCACACCCCGAAATGAATTTATTTAAATTAGATAAATAAAAAAATTTTTTAAGTTTATTTATCAAAATTATATGATACAGAATAAAAGTAAAAATAAACAACTTTAAAACTCTGAATAAATTAAATTTAAATCTAATATGAATTCAGTGTAACGGTGCGAGAAAATCGTACCTTAACCATACGCTCACTATTATCAGAATTTATTTTTTGTGGGTCGAGATCCCACATCAACATATTATAAGATTCCATATAATACAACTCTCGAACCAAGCTGTCATGTTCTTCAACAACTTGAACGAGATCATCCACACGCTCCTTTACACGCTCTTCACGAATTATACCCAAGGGAGTCTTTGGCTTTTCTGGCTTCTTAGATATTATCTCCGACAGAGATTCTTCATTATTTGACAAAGTTTTAGTTCTTTTCGTCCTAGGAGTAACAAAAGTTTCCTTAGAATAATTGCCATCATTATTTTTTGATTCATTTAATGTTGCATTTCTACTATTAACGTTGATTTTTCGTTTCCGATCATTTTGACGCGCGGATTGTCCGTTAACAGGAGATTTCATACTATCCAATGGTAGCGGATTTTTACGAGGTCGACCTGGCCCTCGTTTTATAGGAGTAACGTTTACAGGAACATCAGAAGTTGTACCTATTGGAATTTCGCTATTATTTCCATTAAATATTGGTTTTTCCGACATTCTTTGCGTAAAAGTATCAGTATTTGAGACACTTGTATTACTAAAATGTGCAGATGGCGTGACTTCGACAGAAGTTTGATTACCAGATACCTTTTTCTCAGGTGTAGTTGAAGTGGAGGTAGTACCTGAATCCAAAGAAAACTTTAAACGAAGTGACTTTGCAGGCCTAATAGGTGGTCTCCCAACAGGTTTATTCGATTGCGCATTTGGACGAGGTATTATAGGTGAACCTATAGTGCGTTGAGTCTCTGTTAAATCAACGTTTTTACGTGGTCGACCAGGACCTCGTTTAGGACTAATAATTTTAACTTGGTTCTTTGCAGATAAGGATTTCTTCTTTGTAGGAGATTCCGTACTACTATTACTACTAAAGCTATCATTGCTAGTATCTGTTTCTGAGTAAATGTTATATCTCCGAGGTTTTTTTCCAATATTTCTTTGTGACCTCCGCGTAGTAGTTACTGCGGCACTATTATCTTGACAGATTACCACTTTTACTTCTTCGTTTTCAATAAAGTCGATTCCGCTAGTACTTTGACTTATGCTTGGTGATATTTCTAAAAAATTATTAGTTGTGATTTGCTCTTTGTTACTTATTTCGTTATTTGGTGGTGTTGGTATAGGTTCGTTTACATTAATTTTTTCAGTGAAGGAATTGTTTTCCTTATGATCGTTGGAGTTTGACATTGTCATTGCACAAGCTACGACCATTGTAAAGTAATATTCATACTTTATAGGACCTCAAAACAATATATCAATATGATATATAACGTTAAACTTTTGTGGCGAAGAAAGTTTAACTCGGAGTTTTTTTTTCTTTCGTCACTTCCTGCAAATAAAAACCTTTTTAACTCCCCTTTTACTTTTATGGGAGTTGCATGATTACGAAATTCACGTGATTTTGTTATAAATTTTCTAATTTTATTAATTGTTAAGATCTATAGCCATAAGTTATAATAATTTTAATATATATAATTCGAAAAAAAAAAAATTTTTTTAATTTAATATTAAATCTGAATTTACTAAATAAAAATTTTTCTCACTACTTTTTATTATAAAATGTTTATATAGTCTATAGTTTATTTTTAAAAATAAATATTTTTTTAACAAAATTAGCTTTTAAGTGATATATCACCATATAATATAATTATATTATATGGTGGTAGATTATAGTATTACTATATAATCTGATTACTACTATATAATCTTATTACCACTCTATAATCTGATTACCACTTGAATATCACTCTATAATCTAATATCTATAATCTAACCATTACTCTATATCTAATAAATATAATCTAAATGCTTATAACCTATCTTTTCTTTTTATCAATTATCTCTTTTATGTTCTGATTATTTATTTAATCCTTTTTTGCTATTCATATTTTTATATTAGTGTAATTTTTTTTACCACTCTTTAATCTAAATAACATCATACTCTATAATCTAATTACCTTTCTTTTCTTTTTGTTTTAAAACTATTTATAAATCAAATTCTATGTTAAAGATACTGATCTTTTATATCTATTTGATATCAGCTTCTATATTGAGAATATTAATCTTATATACATAATTAGGTATATAGTTCCCTATTGAAGGTTCTGATCTTCTATATTTATTTGAATGTTTAGTTTTATGTTGAAGGTATTGACCTCTATACCTGTTTAAATATTAGATTTTATACTGAAATACTTATCTTTTTACATCTATTTAATTGTCTTTTTAGATGTCAAAATAATGTAAAAAAGGTAACAGATAATGTGTAGTAAATTTGCAATTAATTTTAATTGACATTATAGCATAATTTTGACTGGTCTTTAAGATAATTTAAAGGATTTAAGTTAGCGTCAGAAACTATTATAAATCTGCTATAGAGCTAGCAGAAAGCAAAGGGTTTTTATTAGTTCACCAGTTTTTGGTCAGCTTAGTATAATTTTTTTACTATCCTTAATATTCTTAGAGAAATTTTTTTAAAAACATTTTTTAAAGATAACTATAATATTGATTTTGGGATTTAAAATTTATTAATTATATTCTTCTATATTTATCCTTAATAATTTAATAAAAGTAAAATTTTAGAAAAAAATTTAAAACATTTCCTATACTATATATTTATTATATATGCAATTATTTTTTATACTATATGGATAGTATATATAATATATGTATATTAAAAAAAAAGTAAAAAAATTTAAAAAATCTGATTTTTTTTAAGGATATTGAGGTAACTAGAGACACCTATCTAAAAGACTTTCTAGAATTCTAAAAGTATCAAAAAAGTTATTTCTAACATTTTCAGAAATTGTTTCTATATTTTTCTAGAGATAACTTTCTAAGACTAGCTTTCTATAATATCAGATATTTTTATTTTATTGAAAGCCTGTTTTAATATTTCTGAAGTCTGTTCATTCTAAAATATCTTATCCAATTTTTTTTAATAATAATATACCTTTAAATAATACTTATTTACATACATATTATAAAACTCATATATTAATGCTATCAATCTTTTCAAATGTATTTTATATCCTTCTCATCAATTACATATCTATTCACAAGTTTTTTCTTCATTAAAATAATTAGAGTTTCGGACGAGTCGAGTTAACTCACGAGTCAGATAAGCTGAGTCGAGTTTAAATTAAGTCGAGTTTATATTTTTTTAACTCGATGATTTGTGAGTCAAATCAAATTTGAGTCGAGTTAAATATTTAACTCGACTCAATTTAAACTCGACTCAAACTCGACTTGATTTGAGTTGACTTAAAATAGTATTATTAATAAATTAATATTTTAAAACTATAAAAATTATACATTATAATAATTGAAA